CAACTTTAGTACGCAGAGTAGCTGGGGAGTGGGAAGATGAGAACTGGCGACTTTGTAGTACAACCTTAGTATGCGGAGTAGCTGGGGAGCTGGAAGATGAGAACTGGCGACTTGGTAGTACAACTAACACGTGCCTTTAACAACAGGCAGTGGAAGCCAGCTTGCTGGCTGCCATTGTCCAGATGGAAAGCCAGCACGCTGGCTACCATCATAGTTGAAGTGGGTAAGCCAGCGCGCTGGCTGCCATTGTTGAGATGGCAAAGCCAGCACGCTGGCTGCCGTCATAGTTGAAGTGGGTAAGCCAGCACGCTGGCTGCCATTGTCCAGATGGCAAAGCCAGCACGCTGGCTGCCATCATAGTTGAAGTGGGTATGAGCCAGCACGCTGGCTGCCATCATAGTGCTTCTCCCCTTACCAGCAGCTCACATGCTCATGACGATGAGCTGGGCTGTCACCGCTTGGCCGCCGGTGGGGGTTTGGGAGGCCTGCGCGCTACTTCGTTCATCTCCTCTGACAGGTCACTGCTTCGAGACACTTCTGGCGCACCTGCCTCGGCACTTTTGTGTCCTCATTCCGGTTCGTTTTTTTCCATGAGCTTTTCCTGGCGCCGTGCACGCTGCTTCTCCCCTTACCAGCAGCCCAAATGCTCACGACGATGAGCTGGGCTGTCACCGCTTGGCCGCCGGTGGGGGGTTTGGGAGGCCGCATCACACACAGACACCCACACACTCCCTCAACTTACACGAACACACACATACGCAGACTCATTTCCACACGGACATAGACACACGCACAGAAACCCACACACTACCTCAACTCACTCGACTTCACACTTCTCACTGCACACTTACCGGATAACTCGCGCTCTGACTTCCTACGTGATGAAAAATGCTTTCGGGCCACTCGTCGTCTAGTTTTTTTTGCAGTTCGCGCTCTCGGTTGTAGTTTCAGTGGAGGTGCTTCCGAGCCACACTGTTTCTCCTCGGTTGGTGGAGGGCGAACCTGGCTGGGAGCGAAGACCAAGGTTCTTGCACATGTTGGGCGCATGGTACCCTGAGCCTTCAAACTTGGTAGTTTTATTGATCGAAGAATCTATGGATTTTCTTTACTAAGAAAATTTGAAGGAACAGGAACATTTACGTAAAAATTTTGTGTAATTTTGGGGTATTCGGTATGACCTATAACTAATTTGGACTGCGACCTAATTTTTGAAGACTTATGCAATACCTCTAGCCAGTGCTTTTAAATTACTTGAGGGTTTACTTGAGGGTGTCAGAGCATTTGCGGAGCATTTGTTTGAAGATGGTTGTGATTGGTGAGGGTTTACTTGTGACTGGGGTGACTGAGGACCTTGAGGATTTGCTTGTGAGCGTGGAGCATTTACTTGAGGATCTTCTTGGGTGTGCCTCATCAGTGTTTTACTTGTCCAATGCAAGTTGCAGCAGCATTTAAAGCCAACAATTTGGCTTCAAGTGTTGAGTAACCCGTGGTCTTTTGGTCTTGCATGGGATGGTTACTTTGCAAGCACTGCTAGATGATAGGACGCAGAGTGCAGCTGAAGAGAGATCAGCCAAACAAGCTTCAAGGGCGCGCCTTGTTGCTGACCCACGGATCACAGTGACAAGCAAGACCAAGAAGAACCTCTGTGTGTGTGTGTGTGTTTGAGGCCCCGCCCCCAAGACCTATGGGCGGCGTACATGGCCGCATGGTGAATGGTTGGTGAAGGCAGCAGGGTTGCTATATGACCTTCTTCCACTAGCGCCAAACACGAAGAGCCAGCCTAGCTGCTTGTTGAAGGCTTTGAAGACGATGCGTGAGTCCAGGGATCTTGAACTCAACGCTTTGCCACCTGTGTCCAATCAGGATGCCATGGACAAGCTGGACTTCACCATCAGGCTGTTGATATCCCAACTGCGGTCTTTGAAAGCCAGTTCGGGCTCAAAGGTGAGGTTTTCAGGGCTCTTTCAAAGAAAGATCAGACATTGAAAGACGATTTGCTGGAGGATGCGGAGAAAGACCAGAGCCTGGCCCTTAATCCCCCTTGACCCGGTCAAAGCAGGCCAAAATGCGTTGAACATTTGCAAAAAAGGATTTTCGCCAAGCCTCCCAAGCATCTTCATCAAGATCATGGGTCAAGATGCCAAAGGTGCAAAAGTTGCAGGCCAAGCCCATGCAGAAATCCAAGCAGGAGAATGTGTTTTCCTCGGTTTTGGTTCAGGCGATGGACTACGCGCCCCAGGTTGCATGCCAGGTATTCCAAGTCTCAGGGAACGGCCAAGGGCTCAAAGGCAAAGAAGAAGGACAAGAACAGTGCAAAGTCCAAGACTGCCAAAGGGTCTGGCCAGAAGAAAACCGGAGAAGGAGAAGGAGGAGAAGGAGAAGAAACAGGAAGGAAACGCGCAGACCTACAATCCTGGGGAATACATGGAGGAGACGAGCAAGTACATTGCAAACTTCTTTTGCGAGGCGTCCAACAATGGTCAGGATGCAACATGGCCATGGCAAGGAAGAGTTGGGCCACCCCAATAAAAAGGGCTACTTTGCTGACCACTTTGTCTTTTTACCTAAGCTCAAATCCAGGCGCTTTGTAGACAAAAGCTGCGCTTCAAACCCATTTGAAGCCATGGTGAAAAGTTATGTGGGCTGAATAGTTTTGCGTAGAGCAAGCCGTGTTTGCTGTTTGGATTTGGATAGGGCAATGCTGGGAAGCAGCCACTCTCTGCTGAGAAAATTTGCAGCGTGTGCAGTCTCTGAATGCAATGAGGTCTTGGAAATGTTTGGGCTTACCAGCAGAAATTCTCGAGCAGTTGCTTGTGTATGTACTTGTGAGTGGGAGATCATGTACTAGAGCGTGTGCTTTTTAGCTGTGGATGTTTTACTGGTGTATGTTCATTTACTTGTGAGTTCAAGTTCATGTACTTGAGCATTTGCGTGTACCTGTGGGTGTTTACTTGTGTCTGTTTGTTTACATGTGAGTGTAAGATCATCTAAGCATTTGCATTTACCTGTGGATGTCCTTGCGCACTTGCTTTTGTATGTTCCCCACATCTCTGTGTGGGGTTCTAGTTTTGTTGGCTGCCATCCCGCCCGCATCCGCCCTTCCTTCCTTCCTTCCTTCCTTCCTTCCTTCCTTCCTTCCCTCCGTCCTCCTCGCTCCCTCCTCCACTCACTCGCTCCTCGCTCCCTCCTCCACTCACTCGCTCGCTCACTCACTCACTCACTCACTCACGCTCACTCACTCACTCACTCACTCACTCACGCTCACTCACTCACTCAGTCACTCACTCACTCACTCACTCACTCACGCACTCACTCACTCACTCACTCACTCACACTCCCAGGCGTCTGCAGAGACTTCGTC